TTATTAAATTAACTTTTGAATTGTATTCTTTCTTTGTTCAAATGCCCGGAGGTCAAAGCTGCCAGCCCAAAATTATAAGTAAAGATAAGGTGTAACACTTTAGTAAACAAAGGTTGGTGTGGTTTGGTGGGTTTAGTTTTGTTTGTTATGTTAGAGGTTTTGGGTTCTATCCTTCCTGGTAGCATCTTTAACCTATTTTATACAATCATTGTCTTTGTTCTCAGAGACAACACAGAAGCAAACTGGTTATATCCTAGATGTTACGCTTAAATATATAAGTGTTGGTGTAGCTTGGTGGGTTTAGAGTTTATTATGTTAGAGGTCTCAGGTTCTATTTTTCCTGCGGGCATCCTAACACAGAAGCAACCCAGTTATATACCAGATGTTGCACATTCATACATAAGATGTTAACATCTTTTTTATATTTTAAAGACAACGGTTAAATAAAACCGTTGTCTTAAACAAATAAAGAACGCGCAACGACAACGGTTTTAAAAAACCGTTGTCTTTGTAGTGTTGTGTATTCTAGTGCGCTTAAAGACAACACACCAACAACAACGGTAAAAAAACCGTTGTCCTTTAAATAAAAAAGAGCGTGCAAAGACAACGGTTTTTAAAAACCGTTGTCTTTGTAGTGTTGTGTATTCGAGTACACTTAAAGACAACACACCAATGACAATGGTTAAATAAAACCGTTGTCTTTTTAAAAAAAGAGCGCACAAAGACAACGGTTTTAAAAAAACCGTTGTCTTTCTAGTGTTGTGTATTCCAGTGCGCTTAAAGACAACACACCAACGACAACGGTAAAAAAACCGTTGTCTTTTAAAAAAAAAAAAACGCACATAGACAACGGTTTAAAAAACCGTTGTCGTTGTGGTGTTGTCTTTTCACAAAATGCACAAAGACAACACACTTACAACAACGGTTAAGTAAAAACCGTTGTCTTTGACAAAAGTGTTGCATCAAAGACAACGGTTTTGGACCAAACTGTTGTCTTTTATACAAAAGACAACACTTTTCTTAAAAACTGTTGTCTTTCTAGTGTTGTCTATGTGCATTTTTCTTGTAGTGTGCTCAAAGTCTTCAGACACACCATCCACCACAACACAGTCTTCATCATCACTCACAAACACCTGCAAGTTGAAAAAAACATCCTTAACAATTAGGTACTAAATGTTTGTAAATTACAAATAAATTCAGCTTCTATTTCAGATATGTACCTCACAGCTTTTCCCAACATCCAAAGAACCACCTATCTCAGTTGACACCATCTCAGATTGGCTGCAACCTAACAAACCTGAGCAGTGCTGTGTAAGCACTGCCTCATCCCTACAAAGACTGAGCACAGTGAACGCAGAGAAATAATTATCTACTTGCGTCCTTCTTCATAGCTATGCGGAATAGCATAGACATCCCACGTAAACGTCCTAGCTCCGGTGGAATAGAGTTATTACCCTAGGAAAATTAAAGTAGACCTAACGTGTAAAGATTTTAGCATAAAAAATCAACTAAGAAGATTTTAATAAAAAATTACATACCCCAGGATAGCTATCCTTTAAATCACCAGCTACCATACCAACCAATTCAGCACATTCACGATCCCATATAAGCATAGGAGCATCTCCAGTATCATCCGCAACACGAACTATCAGTCTATACCTCACAACTCCTTCTTGCCAATAGTTCTTACACCCAGCACAATAGAGCATTCCACCACTTTCAGAGAGCTTTTTCTTGCAAGAATTAGTCTTGCAAGAAATATAGTACCAATCACATAGACTCTCAACACCAACAATTCGACCGGCTACCCAATACTCCCCCAACTGGTCAGGAAAACACAATAAACCTATAGTTACTCGAAGGCATATATGTTAAACTAAAAAATTGTTAAAATCTTCCATCTACAGTTACCTATTTTATAGTTTACGTAACTATAACCAAACATAAATAGATTATATAAGGATAAAATCATAGGTTATAACATTTGAACTCTAGATCTTTACCATCAAGCCATTTTCTTATTCTTATTTCTTATCATAACAATATGAAATCTGCAAGTACTATCTTATTATTCTTTCTTATTCCTTTAATGCAGGCAGTCAGTAGACTACAACCTGTCTCTGGATTTGTTTTTTTTTTTAAGTTTTTTTTTTAGGTTTTAAATGCATTACATTTGTTTGCAGAAAATAATTCAAACAAATAGAATTCATAAAAGTTTAATAGATATATGTTTTCACATGTAAAGCAGAAATCTATATATATTGTGGAAGCAGAAATAGAAATCTAATAACCAAATAATTTATGAAATAGAAATAGAAACAGAAACATAGTTCATTTTACATGAGTACACTGACCTAGAAACATAAATAGAATTATAAATAGAAACAGAAACATAAATCATAGAAATAGAAACAGAAACATAAACATAGAAACAGAAACATAAATAATTTATGCAATATATAATAACCTAATTTTACAGTTTAGATAAATACATAGACACAAAAATAGATTATAACGATAAAACCAAAGATTACATGTTTTTTGCTGTAAATCTCCTCAATAGAACTGACCACCACTTGCTTAGAAGGACCACCACCAGTAGGAAAACCAACACCAAGCATAGATGAGGAATCAATACACCTCAATGGGGTAGAGTCAGCTGTGAAGCTACTAAAAGAACACAACAACAGAACATTTAGTGATTAATTAAAAAACAAAGATAAAATTTGGAAAGATTTTATAGGTACACTGACCTGCCTCTTCAGTGCAACAAACTCCTTACAGGGGTGAGAGAAAAACAACTGAGTTGCATCAAAAGAGCTACAAATGCGCACTTCACCATCTGGCAAACATAAAAGATTAAATAAGTAAAGGAATTATGTGTGCAATAAAGAGCTAGTGTAACTTACTGTCCATAAACTTTGCCCTGCAGAGTTGGATCAAAAGTACCACTGGATCAGCAACATTTGTATTGAAATAAGGAATAAGTTGATCCACATGGTCATCCCAAAGTGTGCACTTAATCTAATTTTTACTGCACACATAATTGGAAAACATATATTTAGCTTGTAATATAGCTGTAAGTTCTTGTAATATATAGAACCAAAATAGAGAAACAAAAATTACCTCATATCTTCAAGCACAAAGTCTATGAGCCTAGTTTTTCTGCCACATATTACCTTCTCTAGTGGGGAATAAATCTCAACAATTCGACCAATCACATCTAAAAACATAGGACTACGTTAATAACACAGTATGTCAAACTTTTGTTTGATTATTTTAAACAAACAATTTCAAGAGTAAAGTTTTGATTATCAAACCCTTACCCATCAACACTTTCTCATCAACATCTTGTTTTGAAAGTATGGCAGGGAAAGTCTTGAACCGAAACAGAGTTTTAGGGAAAGTGATACGCTTATAGTGCTTCACAATGGTGTCATGCTTAAACTTGATCATATAACGCAAAGTGCTTGTTTTGTATTTGAAAAAGTTAGTAATACAAAGGAAATTCCTAATCCCATAAACATTCCCCTCCTTGAATTCATTCTTGTATTTGCAAACAATGTCCTTAGGTATGTGTACGTGGATAAACACACCCTACATTTCAAAACAACCCAAACCACATAGTTAGAACAACCTAGAAACAGTTAAAGAGGGAGAGAAAAAAAAATTGAAGTAGCTAATGTAGGAATAACACACCTCTTGATCATGAAATACACATTCTTGACTTCTTATGTTGTTTTCTCCCTTTCTTTCAGTGACAACATAGTTCCTTACACAACGGAGCCTAATAGCCTTGGTAGTTAGCTGTGGATGGAGGTTTGCACCAACAATGAATTGGCCCTGGCCAGACATCCTGTAGAGTTGCTTACTGGAATTACAATCGCTTTAGTGGGCGGGATCGCTTACTGGAACTTGAATTCTATTTCGTTTCCTTTACTCTTCGATTGGTGGTAGAACATGTCTCAATCTGTATGTATATATAGCCGCAGAGATGATAACCTTTACATATTATTATATTAAAAAATGTATAGACATCACAGTCATCCCATACCCCTAAAGACTTAGAAGACACGCAAACTATCAAGAGACCATATATCTACAAACTCTAGAATAGGCCAACATCCTAAATATTAGCCTACAATCACACGTAAATCTAATATTTTGATTTGGAATACAAATTTAAGTTGAAAACAGGCGGGACATTAGCTAGATTTGAGGAAAAATAAAATAAAAAAATTTGACCTCTAAAATGGTGTAGTTTTTAGTGGGCGGGAAAATGGAGCCATTTGATTGGCTGAAATCTTGTTGCTTTTATATATATATAGATATAGATTATTATTATTATTATTATTATTATTGTTATTATTATTATTGTTATTATTATTATTATTGTTATTATTATTGTTATTGTTATTATTATTATTATTATTATTATTATTATTATTATTATTATTATTATTATTATTATTATTGATGGGTGAGGACCCCGGCCCAAGGTATAGGGGCCCAAAGAAAATAGATAGGAGAAGTGGGCCAGCGTCGAGAGGAGCCCGAAGAACAATTGGGCCGAGTCTGGGAGTCGGCCCAGGCCTAAGCATGGGGCCCAGTTCCGAGCTGCCAAGAGGAGTCCAGTAGGAGCTTAGGCCGAGACAAGGAGTCGGCTCAAGGAGCCGTTGAGAGCATTGAAGAGGCTCGTTTAAAAGGGAGCCGTTGAGACATTGAAAGCCGGACACGGTCAGGCCGTTACAAGCCTGGGAGAGCCGTTGGTCGACCGAGTAATGGCATCCAACGGCTCCGTATCTTAATTAGCCATGAAGTCGGCCATCAAAGGCCTTCAAGTCGGTAGAGGGGAGCCACTATATAAAGGCTCCTCCATTCTTGTAAAAGGGGGACAATTGAACACCCAAAGAGGGGAGAATACCAAAAGAGTTCCGAGTACTAGCATAATCTCCGAAATAGACATACACTTTATCGAAAGGTGCACCCACCAGCCGAAGGTTGTGTTGGACCTCCTTGGGCCCGAAAACCCTAAAACCATCACTGGCATCGTCTGTGGGGATCGAAACTAAGAGTCACGTGTCCTCTTGAGTGAGGCGAGTCCGAGGAACAACGATTAGAATCCCAGTCGAATTAGAAAAGTTCTAGACATGGCAGGAAGTGAAGAACAATCGAGCCGTCATAACAATGGACGGGAAGCAGACCTGAGAAGCCAGCTGAATCGGAGAAATGCCCGGAGCCGGGAAAACGAGACAACACCGCCGCCGACACCACCGATAAACCAACAATTGCCCCAAGTGCTGCTCACCCTAGAGCTGCGTGCAATCGGACGCGCTTGTGCCGAAGCAAGCCTAGGAGTGAGAGAACAGTCCATCACTCGCCAGCCGCAACACGAGTTACAGCCGCTTCATAGGCCCGACAACCAGCAACAGAGCCGACGGGCCGAAAGCCAACCGGTACAGTCCGTTCATTCTCGGCTGGGTCCCAGCGTTGGGCGTCGGTCGGCAAGAGAACGATTGGGTCGGATGGAACTCAGTCATGCCCCGTTAGCCGCTCGCCATCGACAAGCTGCACGAGAGAAGAACCGTACCAAAAGAGCCAGGACTGAGACTCGTCGCGTGGAGCAACCTCCACGCAACCCCAACCAACCGGCTGAGTCTGAAATCGGCGAGAGCACGGAATCCACAGGAAATCGCACCCGGGAGAGGGTCGAAGTGGCGAACTTAGTGCAAGAAGTGCGAAATCTGAAAGAACAGATGGAGGGGAAAACCAAGTCCCCAGGACGTACGTTACTGACCGCCTTACCCTTCTCGGATGAGGTTATGGCTTTTAAAATACCTGGTGATTTCAAGTTCCCGGAGCAGGCCACGTTCGATGGAACCGGCGATTCCCGGGAGCATTTGCTGAGCTACCAGGCTAAGATGCAGGTTTTGGGGGTACGAGATCCGGTCATGTGCCTCGCCTTCTTGCTCACGTTGAAAGGGTCAGCACAAAGGTGGCTAGTGGCACAGCCCTCGGGATCGATTCACAACTTTGAAGAGCTGGCAGACCGCTTCATGAGCCACTTACGCCGCTAATATCAAGCCACAAAAGGACCTAACACACTTGGCTGACATTCGTCAAGACGAAGGCGAGTCCTTGAAAACCTATCTGGCCCGCTGGCAGAAAGAAATCCAGTCCATAGAAGAGGTCGAGGACTAGACGGCGCTCACCTTCTTCATCGAGTCGCTGCGGTCCGGCCAGCTGTACCGAGACCTGAGGGACAATCGTCTGGCCACCTATGCAGAGGCCATTCATATGGCCAACAAGAGGGCCAACACAGAGCAGGCTATGAAGTACAAGCGACAGCGCGAAGTCGGCGGATCCGCCAGCGGGAAGAGGACGCAAGCGGAAACCAAAGAAAGGCGCCCGGACGTGACTCGGCGACCCGAGGTCAGACGGCCATACGACAGACCCGTCGTCCACGCTTATCGGCCGATTCCCGAACGTCCGGTCCATGAGATACAAACGGTCGCCCCGCCTCTGCCTCCGCCGACCGACTGAATCGCCCGACGAACGAAGAAATGGGTAAGACCTCTAAGTATTGTCGTTATCATAAATCTTATACTCACAGCACAGAGGAATGCTTCTACCTGAAGAAGATCATAGGAGGGTATCATTCAGCAAGGAACCCCGCCTCCTAATCAGTGGAGGCGAAGATCGGTCAATCGAGGGGATGAGGATCCCGCCGCCGTTGCCGAAAATAGTCGAGGCAAGCAGTCGACTCCCGAGGAGGAGGAGGTCAGTGGCGTCAGAAGCCGGTTATCAACATGATAGTCGGCGGGCCGGAAGGTGGTGACTCAACAAACACCCGAAAAGCCTGGGCCCGCCAATTATACGTTGGAACGGTGTACGGGCGCGAGGAGAACCTAAAAAGGGTGTCGAGAGCCCATTGTGTTTACCGACCGAGATTTACCAGCCGGTGAAACACCGCATCGAGATGCCTGGTTATAGCTATGGACATCAATGGCGTTGTCGTCCGACGAATCCTGGTGGACACCGGAAGCAGCGTCAATGTGCTGTACCTAGAAACCTTCATCAAAATGGGAATGACTCGGGAACAGCTGAGTCCTGTCAAAACTCCCCTCGCCGGTTTCACAGGGGACTCGGTGGAGGCGGAAGGATCGATCACACTTCCAGTTGAGATCGGCAGTTACCCAGACGTACAGAGACTCAGCATGAAGTTCATTGTGGTGAATCTGGCCTGTTCACATAACGCTATACTCGGCCGATCGAGTCTCGAGGATCTTGGAGCGTTGATTTCAATTGAGCATCTTTGCTTTAAAATTCTGCACGCCAAACGGAATAGGCACGGTGCGCTGTGACCGTAAGGTCGCTCGCGACTGCTACCTACAGGCATGTAAGGGGATGGGCAAGCGCGAGATACAGGTCCATGAGATCACCGAGAGGCCCCCAAAAAGGACAATAATACCACGTCCGGAGCCTGCCGTCGAGTTGGAAGAAGTCGAGATCGACTCCACGCAGCCGGACCGACGAGTCCGAATTGGAGTCGGCCTCCCCGAGGAAGTAAAGGAAGAAATTATAAAGGTGCTCCGGAACACCAGATGATCTTCGCCTGGTGCCCGGAGGACATGCCAGGCGTCGACCGATCGATCATATCGCACAGACTCGCTGTGGATCCCGGGCATCGATCCGGTTGTGCAGAAGAAGCGATACCTGGCCAACGACCGAAGAGAATTTGTGAAGAAGGAAGTGAGCACGCTACTCGCAGCCGGACATGTCCGCGAAGTTAAGTACCCAGAGTGGTTGGCGAATGTGGTCCTTGTACCCAAGCCCCTGGCGTGGCGGATATGCGTGGACTATACCGACCTTAATAAGGCCTGCCCAAAAGATCCGTTTCCCTTACCGCGGATCGATCAACTGGTCGACGAGACGGCGGGGTCGGCGCTGTTGAGCTTTATGGACGCCTTTAGGGGGTATCATCAGATATTCATGCACTCGGCGGACGAAGAAAAGACCGCGTTTCTGACACCGGACGGAGTTTATTGTTACCGAGTCATGCCGTTTGGGCTCAAGAACGCCGGAGCCACGTATACCCGAATGGTGGCCCGATTGTTTCAGCACCTGCTGGGAAAATCGATGGCCGCGTACGTCGACGACATGCTCGTCAAGAGCCGAGAGGAGAGCAAACACGCAGAGGACTTGGCCGACTGCTTCAAGGTAATGTTAAGGTACAACCTCCGGCTGAACCCTAAGAAATGTGCGTTCGTCGTGCAAGGTGGAAAGTTCCTGGGTTACATGGTCACCAAGCGAGGTATCGAGCCTAACCCTGAGAAAGTACAGGCCATCGTCGACATACAGCCTCCCAGCACTATAAAAGACCTGCAACGGCTGACCAGCCGATTGGCCGCCCTTAGCCGCTTCCTAAGCAAGGCGGCAGATAAGACCGTGCCCTTCGTCGAAGCCATGAAGAAGAAGGAAGGATTCGCTTGGACCCCAGAGTGCCAGCAGTCGTTTGAAGAATTGAAACAATACCTCTCGACACCCCCGGTATTGTCTACCCCCCAGGAGGGCGAGCCCTTGTTTCTGTACTTAGCCGCCTCTCGCAAGGCGGTGAGTTCGGTATTGGTCCGAGAGGAAGAGCGAGTCCAGCACCCGGTTTACTACGTAAGCCGGTCTCTAAAGGCTGCCGAGTCAAGGTATACCGCCTTGGAAAAAATTGTATACGCGTTGGTGATTACCGTGCGCAAGTTGGCGCCCTACTTCCAAGCTCACACCGTCCGAGTTTTGACAGACCAACCTCTCGGAAGTGTTTTGCGAAACCCATCGTCGTCCGGCCGCCTGGTAAAATGGGC